GTGAATGGTAAAAAAATAAGAAAAAAATTCTAATAGCTTTTAAAAAAAAAAACAAAGAAGACTTAATATTGCAATCATAATACAGTCATTTCTATTAACCTTATTTTGGTAGAATGCCACCATGTTGTTGTACTCTCTGGCCCATTTCTCATTGATGGTCAGCAGCTGAGGAAAAAAAGAAGCCACAAAATATTTCATTGAACCCTTTCATGCACCCTGTAACTTGATAATATGAGAAGCTATCCACTGTAGTAACAGCTGTACCTCAAAGAGTTAATGTACACATTACAATTACAATTCAGCTTAAAAATATGTTTCCTTCACAAACTATTTTTTCTTACTGAGCCACATACTGCTTCACCAGCTACACATTGTTTTGTTTTGGTTTTTTTTGCTCACCTCTCGCCGTTGCCTCTCCAGAATGAAAATCTGCGCTCGCATGCTGGCGTCCTGGCTCGAAAGAAGAAAAAATGATTCATGAGGAAAATCTACAGAACGAAGCGTTGAAAACGTGAAGCTTTACGGGACGTGATGAAATCACGTCCGCGTTTTGGACTTCCTTTTTTTTTTTTCACACTCTTGGAAGTTCTCTTTGAGATGCGTTCCGGTAAAAACAGAAAAAAAAAAGGCATCTTACATCATCAGCCCGGTTGTTGTATGACATCACACACATTTTGATGTTTGGAAACGAACTAAATATATGCAACATTTGTTTTTAAGAATATTTATAAAAGAAATATAAAATAAGATTTTATTTTAGCAATGACAAAAATTCAAGTATTATCTGACAACTGGCTAATTTTAGAATTTTTTTAATGGTCATTTTCTGTATTTTGAGGGAAAATTTGACTTTGAATGATTTTTAAAACTTTTTTTTTCCTCCATATATTTGTCCACAGTGCCCACGTGGGTCTACCATTTTTTTTTTTTTTACAAATTCCATGTTTTCGAAAACGTGTTGAAAATGGTTGCAATGGGAGTTGACTGTTGCTTTTGGAGATGCGAGGATTCTGCATGACTATTTTCTGGAAAGAAAAAAAAAGACTTTTTCGGCAATACTCAAAAATGAATTAATTTTTTTTAATCCTTAAAATATAGATATTATTATCATAAGACGAGGCCTGATTGGTGAAAAGGTTCGACGATACGTGAATTCCAATGCGTAAACTTCGTTCAAAAAGATAAATCAAACAGCTCACCATCATGTGTAGGGAGTGTAGTTGCTCACGTGCGGCTCAGAGTGCAAAGACGCCTTTTGACTTTTTATGCCGAGGATTCCCTCCGCCTCCGCCTCCGCCCAACCCTCTGTTGACCCACTTTGTGGAAAGAACGTACAGTGGGTAATAAAAGTCACTGTTACGGGACCAATCGTGACTAAGACAGAAACGCTACGCGACACGAAGAAGAAGAAAAAAAAACTCCTCCAAAGGGGTACTATCGTTTAATAAGAATCACGTTTCACCTACAAATCTACAAGGCAACCTGAACACACACACGCAATTTATAAGAATAAAATATGATTGATTTTTCAAAGGCTGCATTGCAAACGTGACGTCACACGAAGTAACGGTCGTCAACGAGCGAGTGTGTTCCTTCAACAAGTGTGTTGCCAGGGTGTTGGCTTCATTCTCATGAATGAGCCGAGTGTCTCCCCCCCCCCCCCCCCCCCCATGTGAGAACACCTTGTGCTTTTTAACCTTGGGAAAATCACACCATCTTTCACAATCTTTTGTTCTGAGACGCCGTGTGAGTCAGCGAGCCTCGTTAGTTACAGGAAGCTAGCCGGGGAGGATTCACGAAGGGGGAAACACGCAGCGACCAAGAAAAAAAAAAAAAGACGCTTGCTATATGGTGGCTTATTTAAGCAAGTGTTATTTGCCGGGTTTTACGGTATGCGGACAAGTTCCAATTTTGAGTCACGTGCCTTCGGTGTCGTACAATGTTGCGTCACAACATGCCGGGCAGCGCTGAGGAAGCGAGGCAGCGCATTCGACAGCAAGAAGTGGCAGAGAAGGTCCCCAATTGCAGTCATGGCAGCTATATGCTCCGTTTGTATGTGCTAAAGTAACAGTAGTTTGGAATTGCATAAAATTAACATCTATGCTAATTTCCACTTTGGATTCTGTGTTAGCATTAAGCTAACGGACTTTCGTGAGATGAAATGATATGATTTGGTGGAACATTTTGTTGTTTTAAATCCACAATATTTAATTTTCTTTCGGGGGGGGGGGGTTGTGTCAGTTTTAGTGAAAATTGGAAGTTATATGATAGCCACACAATTATTGATGGCCAAAAATAAATAAATAAAAGTTCTTTAAGTGACAGTGGTTTCTCCAGTGGACAGCTTCTCATGTTATTAGGTTACAGGGTGCATGAAAGGGTTAAACAATACGTTAAAAAGTGTCTTTCTATAAATTACAATATGTTTGAAGAGTGACGAATACCGCACACCCCCTAAAACACCGCCAAAGAGTTGACACACCACAACCCCCCGCTTACCGGACATGAGAACGACTTTTGGTTTTGGTTTCCAACCTGCACATTGACAGAAGCAAAATAGAAACTTGCATCTTCAGACTCTAGCTTGGGGGAAAAAAAATGATGAATGAAGGTGGAAAGAAAATTTCAAGATTGGCAATCCTTAACGTAAGAAAGAAAAAAAAATACACATTTTAAACATGTACATTCATTTAATTGTAGAGAACACAAATTCAAAATTTCTCATGACATCCAAAAATCATGAGCACCATCAAAGACACTTTAAGCTGAACTGATGTTGTAACGTCAGGTAAATTTTAGCTTCTTGTCTTCCAACGTATATTGACGGTATAAAGGCCAGTTCATACTTGCTTTGCACTTTCCTGACTTGACGTAGCATCCAATCACAGTGCGGCACGGCAGCTCCCATCTAGAACTTAAGTGGGATTCATTCAGCTGTTCTTTGCAGAGGATAAAGAATACCGTATATGACTATGAACACCGTTATCTTGTCTGTCTTTCTACATGTGTTGTGTTCAAATACTTAAAGGCCTACAAAAGAGCCACGTAGATGCTAGTCATTGCCCGTGTTAGCGTTAACCTTAAGCGAGCAGACTAAAGACTAAGCTCCGCTGTTGTCTTAAACACGCAAAGCGTAATCGTCTTTGTTTCAACCGAGCGGCAATAAACAGCTAGAAGCCTTTTTTTTTTCGAAAAATATTGACAGAAAGACAGGTAGATCGATATTTCTTTAATTACTTACAATATTTATTTATATATTTCTTCCCCAAAGAGTAACACATAGTTCAGGACAAAAATGAACGTTAACTCCGGCACATCACTTTACAGAAGATACATTTGCACCATCTAGCGTCAATGAAGGCTTATTGATTGCTTACGTTTGCAAAGAATGAGGATTTGATCAAGATTTATTGGTTGGAGGGCAGACCAAAAAGAGAAAAAAAAAAAAAACATCCGACACGGCCAAACAAGACTCTCGAACGGCAGGTCAACTGCAGCCAGAGGGTCCCCCCCACCCCCTTCAGGCGAAAGAGAGAGAGGTTAAATACGGAGGCGGAGCGCGGGCAGGGGAACATGCGGCGAGAATATATGACACTCAGGCAGAAGCAGCGGAAAAAAGCAGAAGAACGACACGGAGGAGGAGAAGAAGAAGAAGAAGAAGAAGGAGAAGACAGAGCAGAGAGGCGAGGTCAGCATGCTGGCGCTACAGAGACACTTTTTTTTTCTTTGTTTGTTTGTTTTTTAAACTCCAAAGCCCAAAGACAACAATCATATGCTGGACGTTAACACCGAAGCTAATTACAAAGCCCAACACTGACTTTAATAGAGAGAATATACGGATAGATACTGCATAGACGCGGATATACATGTAGAGGTATAAATATATAGCTATACGTGTGTGTGCATATATAGGAGGCGCTACATCACATACAATAAAAGCAGAGGCAAGGCAAACAAAGCGCATGCATGCACGTGCAAAGGGGGCCTGGCTGGATGCAGCGAACCAACGCCGTCGTTTAGCCGCTAGCCGTTAGCGTGCTCGAAAGTTTTCAATTTGGTGTCACCCATGTCCCAAAAAAAAAAATTAATAATACAGCAGAACCTCTGAAGTGCAACACAAAAAGCCCTCCAAAAGCTTCGTCGTTTGCCCAAAGATGGCACAATACGGCAGCAAAGCACTATTTTTCGAATAAGCGGGTAGCAAATCATCCAAATGAAACTCCTCTCCTCATTTCAATGTAGTTCCTCGGCAATAAGGTTGCACCAAAGCACTACTTTTATACGAGACGAGGCTTTGTCATACGTGGGGAGACACTTTATGTGTAATTTCGGAAAAGTGAACAAAAATACAGGTGTATGAATGTATGTTGACGTTGCATTTCGTAACCCCGCCCCCTCCCGAGAGAATGAGATTAATATATAATAAAACTACTCAGCCTTAGAGGATGCAAGTCACGAGCACTAAGCTTTTCCGCTACTTGCTATTACAGAGTCGAGTGGACCCGAACTACTGGCGGGATGTTCAATTTCAATGCCGTGAATATTTTGGGGTTCTGAAAAATAGACACGCCCCTCCTCCCAAAAATATGCACAAAAAAAAGCAGGGATCAGAAAAAAAAATTGTGGGTCCGCAAATAAGTTCCACAAAAAAAAAAATAAATGTATATAAAATCCATTACAGAACAGTTTTATTTAACTTTAAATCTGTCTTTCCTTTACCATTTATTTACTTTTTTTTTGTTGTTCCTAGGTTTTACCGGACTTGTTTGACTTTGGAGAATTTATGTCGACATAAACTTTTGGGGGCGTTTCACTTTGGTGATTCCGCTATCTCTAAAAAATAAATAAATAAACACATGATCAATAAACACATTGCTGTCAATTAAACATTCATGGTTACTTTTGAACACTTTTGTCACCCTCATTCAGGAACAAGTACATTGCACATCATTGGCTTGTGTATATATGTGTGTGTGTGTGTGTGTGTGTGTGACATTGCACATCATTGGCTTGTGTGTGTATGTGTGTGTGTGTGTGTGTGTGTGTGTCCGTGCGTGCGTGCGTGCGTGTGGTTGTGTTTGTGTGTAGGCTAAAGTGCACACCCACCCCCACACAAGAGACCATGTGAGGGTATCAGGTGGTAGAATGTACAGACGATACCAGCAACGTTGGACTACAGTATAAGGCAGCCAAAATACGCCACAACAGACACACAAACGTCACACGCCAGTCACGTATCGCAACAGAAAAGTGCTTCCGGCTCACAAAAGTTCACCACGAGGAATAACGCGCACCCCTTTATGAGTTACGCGCACATGTTGAAAAATACATTCAAGTTGACACACGATACTTTGGGGAGGGGAGGGGCAAAGTTTGGGGCTCGAGGGACAGTTAGGACACCTTATTTAAAAAAAATAAACTAATCATAATAATGTAATTCATATTCCCGATTTAAAAGATAAAACTGGGATTGATTCTCAATTTTAATGCTATTATTTATAATTAACCCAAGTGTAATTATTTAGCCGATTATTGACCAGGATAAATAACAGCAACTAAATCTCAAATTGTAAACTAAAAAAAATGCTAACAATACATCATTCTGTGATCAATAAAAAAAACAATTTTAATCAATATGACAAGACTGCATAATGGGCCGTACGTGTCCCAAGGACCAGACTTTGCCCACCCCTGCTCTACACTGAGGAAAAATATGAGTTACCATCACAAATAATCTCTGGTTATACGTCTTATGTACATGTATGTATACGACCCCAGCGCTATTTACACGTTACCGTCAAAAAGTGATTGTGAAGCTAATTGTGCTTTTCTTGCGACCAATCACATCTTCAGTATTGCTGTCGAATGAATCAATGAGGAACTAGTATACTAGTGGGGTTTTTTTTCGCAAACATATTAGATATATAATTATCGTAATATCTTGGGCTGAGAAGAACCGTACAAGGTTGTGGTGCCAGGAAGTAGTCTGTGCCGCAAGCGTTCATATCAATGCATTCAGTGGCTACAATATTAATTGGCACTCTGATTTTGTTTTGATCATGAATTTCAGTCCATAAATCCATGAAATTATACTTTTGTCCAAATTGTATCCGAAATCGCTTGTGTCTTGCGCCTGTAATGGGCAGCATTTTCACAGCCCCGCTTTGTTCAGCGGAGAGATCGGTGCTGTTGAACGGTTTGCGGCTGGATGGATGCAAGGCTTGAGGAGCCGACGATGAGAAGAAAGGAGCGTTAGCGCAGAGCGCCAATGCGGAGCAAACATGGCCATTCTTTGAACAACAGCACCCCCTGCGGGGTCGCTTTAATATCGCAGCCACCTGTTTTGAGTTTGAGTCCTTGCTTCTAGATTAGAATACCCTTTCTGCATTTTTTAATTTTGACCTTTTACACAATGTGTTAATATTAGCTGAATTAGCTACAATATTTCAATTCATACATTAGTGGTGAAGCTAATTGCGAGCTAAAATTCTTGCGTACGGTCACTTGAAAGATTCTGGATTTCCTCAGTTCCTAATTGGATGTCGTCATTTAAAGCAGCAAAGTTGCAAGCGGTAAATTAGTATTGCCGAATTGGTCGCAGGGAATGTGAAAGCATTTAGCATTTATGAGCTGGCTAATTCTCAAACCAATTTTATCAACTCAGAGAAATAGCATAAAAAAATAGCTGAACGTTAGCCACCGGGATTAGATATTTATATTAGCAGGGGAGGTAATTGCAAACTAAAACTCTGACATTTGTTTAAAAACCTTGATGTAATTGCTCATTCCACAAAGCAGCCAAGTCCCGATTGTTAAATTAGCATTAGTAAATTAATCATAGAGATAGCACAAACGTGAAATATGAAAGTAGTTTATCAAGCATTTTTGAGCGAGCGAGTTGTGAAACCAGTGCTACTGAATAGGGCTTCAAATTTGACCAGAGCTATAATTTTACGCAAATTTTGCGAATCGAGTACTTATTGGAAATCGTCACTTAAAGCAGTCATGCGGCAAACAAAAAATTAACATAGCAAAGTCGCCGCATTGCTAGCATGTGGTATGTAAAGGCAATTGATTATGCATTTCTGAGCTAACTAGCTGAAAACCAGCGCTACTCAGTCTTCATAGTAACCTCAAATTTGCCCAAAAAGATTTTTAGAAGCTAAAGTAGCTGAATGTCACAAGTCATAACCTGTGCGGGGAAGCCAATCGAGTCATGGTTATCAATCAGTTATTTTCGCTGCGGTAACGAAGTTGAAGTGTTTTTTTATGTTAGTTTGTAACTAGTTCTGGAACCAGTGCCTGCTAATTCTTTAGTGTTAGCCAACATGTTTAGCTCTCACATTAGCCAGGAAGCAAACTCCGTATACTTGTTTCACAACAGTGAGCCACTCGGGTCGCATTTTACATGATCACTTTTTGCCAGTTGATGTCACGGGTGCTTCATTAGCATTAGCAAATTAGCCACAGGGGCTAGCACTAGGGCGGGATCCGATGGAAGTTGATTATGCCGAGGCAAGGAAGGCTAGGTGCTTTGTTTAAAAATGACTTACAAATGCCATTTACGCTAAAGGACACAGACACTTATGGCACATCATCACATCGTCGTCATAAATGATTATAAAACAGAGTATTAATAATTGTGGACTTATTGCACATTATCACATATTAGCACAGTTTAAGTTACACCGATTCGCACGTTTTTGGTCGGGACAACACTAGCGGAAAAAGGCGGACAAGCACTTGTACAAAGCTTTGGACCACATCAGTCCACAACAAAGCTAGCATACGTAATATAGAGATATATGTATATGTACACATATTTATATATCTATACAGTGTACCCCCAGTAAACCGCAGTTCATCGTTTGCGCCCCCAGCTGTATCCCCGATTGTGAAGCAATCGCTTTTGCAGTATGCAGGCAAATCCAAATTTGTGGTACTTCAGTGTAGTACCACTTTGTGCCACATGTGGTGCAACACTGCGGTACACTGAAAGAGATGCAGTGTGATTAATGCTAATTTCCAGCAGGCCGTCTATTGTGTTTCTTATTATATGTTAGCATTAAGCTAGTGGACTTTTAATGTTGCTTTTTTTTTTTAACTTGAAACTATTTTTTTTTTTTTTAATTTTATGTCTACATTTTAAAAAGTGCGGGAGTGATGAACAATAGAAAAAAAATGTATACATCTCCATATTGCAAATGTCGACCGATCACAATTGGGTCTGGAACATGGCCGCAGTAAAGGGGCAGGGGGTTCACTGTATATAACTTGAAAATGGCAAATATAATTTTTGTTTGAGAGGAAATAAAATGGAGCAAGTTACATTGAGGATGGTCAATTGCAGCCAGTTCTTTTATAGATCCTGACCCAGACGCTCGATTTCTTCGATGAGGAAGTCGATGTCCTCGAAGGTGGCGGCTGGATTGGAGATGACCATGCGGAAGAAGTTGACCTTGTCGCCCTGCGGCTGGTAGCTCACCATGGTGGTCCCGTACTCCATCATACGCGCCTTAATCACAGGCGCCACCTGGAAAAGCAAACGGTCACCGTTCCAAACAAGTACGCTACGTTAGCATTAGCAAATTAGCCATAGGTCTTTACACAAGGGTGAGTACTGTTACGATATTGTAGCTTTACTAGACAGTGGTTAACTTTCCCACCAATAATTCATTTTTAAATGACTCAAAGAGACAATTAAGTAAGACAAAAGTGCCCAAAATCAATCAATAATAAGTTTGCTAACAACGTAGCATCTTCCTGATGTCTGAATTGCCAATGATTAGGCTCCAAATGCCGACTCCCTCACACTCTGACCTTGATATGTATACCATTTTACATTATTTAGACAATTATTTCTGACTCGCTACGCGACTTGTGTTCTCCACTTCAATCACCTTGTGCAAGCGTTTCTTCTTCTCTTCTTTGTCGTCCATGTAGCGCATGCCGGGCGGCAAATACCAGAAGCAAACGTTGGTGTGTTGAGGCTGCACGCAAATCAAACAAACACATGTCTCAAAATCAAATGACTCCAATCAAACACGATGGGATCAGAAAGAAATAAAACATAATTATTATTTGAATGAAATGCAAATGAGTGCCTGGCGGGTGTCCGGAGGCATCTTATGAGATGGCCCTCTCGTCATATCTTGGCACTCTTTTGTTCTCCTCGTGGTCAGTGGAGCGTATTTGTGACACTGCGGCATTCATATGCAGATGAGCAATTAATTGTGCTTTTGTTACACATAATGGCGGCGGGAGGTCGGAGACGCCCAAATTGCCTTTTCAGCTAAAGCCAGAGGACACGCATGAGAAACCACCAGATCCCGACATTTGTCCGTTTTACATTTCATACAGAACACGTGACACACTTCTCTCAAAGCGCCCACAAATTTCTTTCAGTGCGCCATCAGAATCACAGATGGCGCTATTTCACCCATTACTTTCCAATGTAAAAACAATAAAAAGACAGTAACCCATCATTTCCAGCAGAGGGTACTATTTTTTCTCTTTCCGATTTTACAAAGTGCGACTGTTCTTTTCTTCCCTCTATGTTTTTAAGATTTAATACAGCGCACATGTAAGATGATACAAGCGAATATAACCAGAGTAATATATAATATAATACTTTCGGTGGTGTGGCTGGTCTATTCCATTTTTGTAGTTTTTGTTATTGGCCTAAGGATGAATTCTGCCAAGCAACAAGAGGCAAACCTGATGAAAAGTGAACATTTTCAGAACACGACAGGAACCTTTCAATGCTAACATGCTAATCAAATGATCAAAAAAACTTGTACATACTTTTCCGTCGAAGACCATCTGGTAGCCTTCCCTGTCCTTGATTTTGTTGTACAGATACTCGGATAGCTCCAGACATTTGTCGATCTGCGCCTCAAACCCGATGGTGCCCTGTGAAACGTGGTCATGTATTTTCCCACGATGCATTGCTCTTCAAAGGTCCGTCGTGTGCGGTCGGTCGGTCAGTCGGTCCTCACCTTGGCTCTCCACATGAGCCACAGCTTGAAGATGTCCACGTGGCGTCCGCACTGCAGCGCCTTGTCTCCGGTGTCGTAGGACAGGTCGTATTGCTTGTCTTGCTGGAACAGGTAGCAGGCGTGCATCTGGTTGCAGTTCTGCATCAGGCCCTATGGGCGGGGCCACAAGAGGAGAGGGGGAGGGGCTTCGTCAGTTGTGCGATGCCATGAAGTCTAAATATTTTGTTTTGGGACTTAAGTTTCACCGTAAAATTTGAAAGCAAATATTTAAAAATACGTACGTGAATACTTTTGCCACCTCTGTGTTTAGTTCAGAGTCCGAAAATATCGTACGAAATTTACTAAACTTACCTCCTCGCGCACCAGCAGGGCAGAACACTGCAGCGGCACCGACATCATCTTGTGTGGGTTCCAAGTCACCGAATTGGCTCTGTGGTAACAACCGATATTATGTTAGCATCGAAAATGTGTCATGGTTGCCTGGACTCGAGTCACATGACTTGACTCAAGTCTCCCATTTCAGGACTCCCTGATGACAAACGTGACTTACTCCCAACTCTGCCGCTTGCACCAACCATGTCAGGTCATATGCAGATTTTTGTTGATTAGTATTGTGAAAGGGCCTGAATTCAGTGATCATTTTGGAAACAAACTTGCCTTTCGACACCATCCAGCTTCCACCGGTGTCTCCGGGACATGAGCAGACTTCCTCCCCACGCACCCTGACGTGACAAAAACACACAATTAAAAAGCACGTTTATTTATTCATTTATTTATTTTGGTGGTCCAGTTACAACTCAATTTAGTTGTTCATTTTTGTGTGTAATTCTTCCATCTGTCTGTAGTTGGTGACATACGATTGTGTTCAACGCTAAATTTGAAAAAAGAAGAGTGAACAGCCAAATTCTTGCAGGAGAGAATCAAAAGGGGATATTGAACGTTTCAATCCTCTATCATCCTGTGTGTTACGCCGACAGAAGGCAAACGGCTGTCAGTTTCTTTTTTGAAATCTACATCTGTAGGCATGATTATGTATACCTGATTTGTAAAAACGATAAATACAGTGAAAAGATAGAGGGATTGGATGGAAGTTTTGCTCAATTCCCAGGAAAATGTCTTCGAGACTGTTTGTAAATTTATCGAAAATATTCTTTGCAACGCCTGATTGAGATGTTGCTGTCCAGACTAACTCATCTATCGGGGGGTGAAAGAAGAAGATGAGAAGGAGGAGGGGGTCACTAATGGCCATTGAGAGAGGGCAGGAGATGATTTATAACCGGCGTTCACATTTGTGTGTGTGTGTGTGTGTGTGTGTGTGTGTGTGTGTGTGTGTGCGTAGCTGTGAAGTAGGTCACAGCAAAGCCGTCGCACACATTTGTCACACTCAACAGTGAGCACTTTATTCCCGATGACGAACGAGCAGACGACTCACGTCCACATGCATCCAGATGTTGTACTTCCTACAAATGTCAGAAATGGCAATGAGCGGGTCGAAGGCGCCGTACACCGTCGTGCCCGCCGTGGCGCTCACGAAAAATGGCACGAAACCCTGCGAGGAATTCAGACATCGGGCGATCAGATAAAGTTCGGTTTGACAGCGTCATCGACGGGCATTGGAAGGGGCGCGTCACCTTCTGTTTGGCCTCCAGGATTCGCCGCTCGAGGTCTGCGGGGATCAATTTGCCACTGGGGAAAAAATGTGGTTGTTTTAAATACACAACATAAATTGGGAGTGGTACAAAAAAGCTTGAAGCTTTTTTTTTTTTTTTTTTTTTAAGCGTAAAGGTATCCATGATGCCGAACAAAATGAGTGCGTTACCTTTGGTCGGCCTTGATGCAGATGACGCTCTCGGTGCCGATCCCAAGAGCTGCTGCTCCCTTCTTGATGGAGAAATGACTCTGTGGAACATGAAAAGAAGGAAGATGACATCAGTGACGTATACCATGTCACAGTATTAACATTCTAGTAGGCATGGCTTGAAAACATGAGCGATTTCTAGTCATAATAATATTTTTTTAAAAAGTTACATGTTCGGAGGTAAAGGCCACCAGCCGGGGAACGGATGACATTCCTTTCTCCTTGACTTCAGGGAACATCTTGAAACGGGCCAGAAGCATGGCGTACATGTTGGAAATGGCTCCACCTGAAGGACATATGAAGAACTGCAAATGATGACTTGTCAGCATTGAAAATAAACTAAAATGTTACGCACACCACGACAAGGCAAACGAAAATATATTGACGTAATTTTAACGTTCTGTCACATCACATATTGAAACAAATTATATAATATATATGTCAATTTTTTTTTCCCCTCTTCTTTACGAAAATGGCGAGAAGTCCGGTGCGCGTGCGCGCGTGCTCGTGCGTGCGCACCGGGCGAGAAGATGCCGTCGCCGCGGCCCTCGTGCCAGCCGATGATCTCGCGCATTTTCTTGAGCGTCACGTACTCCAGCAGGACGAAGACCGGAGCCACCTCGTACGTGAACCTGCGTGGTGACATCATAAGCAACGCAAGCACGTCACACTCCCCCCCCGAATCTGGCGGTCACTTCATTAGGCACACAACCCAATGCACCCAACACCACGAGAGCGGCACCAAACGTCGACGAAGGCTCACTTTATCGTTATTATTATTAGCATTTTTATTATTATTATAATAGAGTCCAAATATTAGAAACAGTTCTCAGTTCAGTTTTGGTGTGTGAGACTTAATACAATGTTTTAATTGCAAGTGTCCCGAATAAAGTGTCGAATTAATTGACAACCACTTCTTTTTATGAATGTAAAAATATTGTGGCCCTCTACACAGCTAAGAATAATTTAACCTGAACGAAAAATTGATTACACCAGAAAGAAGAATAATGATTTGATTTAAAAAAACGTACCAAAAAATAAAGCAGCAACCGTGTAATGTCGCCACAGTAATAAAAATGCATTTCGACGTATTTCAGTGAGTGACGGTTGACATTTCTATCCATAAAGCGGCCATAAAAAGTACATTTTCACTCATGTCCATATGTCTAAACTAGAGGCTCTAATTAATTGCCCACAGCCTTTTTTTTTAGGTCACTGTTGGACAAGCGGCACGAAGCTTTATCAGCCCCAAAGCAGACACACACTAAATGGAGCCGCTGGATTTAATTTCACAGCCAATTTTCTCCCTCCCTTGTTCCCATGGGGATGCAAGGAGGGAGGAAGCGGGCACAAAATAGAAAAAGAGAGCGTGAGTGAGTGAGTGAGGGGTGGGGGGCTAATTCCCTCCTTATTGTTCATTTGACACGAAAAGGGGCAAGAGAAGCATTCGCACGTGTGCATGTCGAACCGGAAATGCAATGGATGATGATGATGATGATGATGATGATGATGGGAGGCGGCAAGAACTTACATGTTGGTATTGGCGGTGGACGTCAGCCAATCAGCAGCCAGGCCCACCATGTCCAAGCCAGTGGACAGCTGGTTGAAGTACCTGGGGTGGGCTGAATGGGGGTGGGGGGTGAAATAATGACATTTTTTCACACGAATGGTCACATCTTAACTAAGGTGTGGAATTAAACGATTAAAAATGTCAATTCATAATGGTAAAAAAAAAAAGATGCTTCATTCTAATCAAATTCTACATTGCGGTTTTTGCAGTAGCAGCATCAAAACAAACATTTTCTCCAAGATTATGAAAAAAACGTTGATTCTGCAAATACTCATATTTTACACATAAACAGCAAAGATAAACAAAAAAAAACATTCAGTAAATGGTGAGTAATAACAAAAGAAAATGATGATTTGACGTGGAGCACCACAAGGCACAAAGCTTGTTACCTATTTGCTTGTATAGGCACAGTTCCTTTCAAAATGGACAGAACAATAGAATAAAAGAATAGACACACCCATCTATCGATTCAATGTGGACGAATCTTTTTTGTGGATTTGCGTGGAAATTAATGGCATTTATTTTCAGTTTCTTTAATTCAGATGGAATTACATCTTCACGACAAATCATATACTTGGAGCCACAACGCAGTAAATTAAGGGACGTATTGTATTTTTATTTATACCCTCTGCTGAAAATGCATTTTTTCTTTTTTTTTGGGGGGGGGCGGCATGGAGATAATGCACACAAAAATCAATTGTGTGCGTGTTTTATTTCGTTGATATGCATTTTACAAAATGGATCTGCGACGGTGTAATCTGCCGATCATTATCTTTGCGGCAGAGGAAGGAGGAGGAGGCCCCATTTTATATTTCATTCGGAAAAAAAAAGAAAACAAACACTTCCCGTTTTTTTCCCTCACATCAAATAATTTGTTTTGGGCGTTTGCTACTCATTTTTTGCCATCGACTCGCACATATGAAGCAACCATGCAAGGCAGACGCCCCTCCCCCCCGCCACCCCCACCGCTTTATGCTCACCTGTCTTGATGGCGTACTTGAGGGTGGCGCGGCAGCTGATCAAGATGTCGTCCAGCGTGCTGGGCTCGTGCTGCAACTCCCAGTTGTTCATCTGCAGCAGCTCGCTGGGGTAGTGGAAGTCGATCACTTTGGTGTCGCGATCGAACGACTCCACGATGTAGGCCAGCAAGATGTCCACCACCTCCTGCAAGAAGCTCAGAGTCTTGGCGTCGCCGTCCATGGCCGGGAGGAGGTCTGGGGAACAAAAAACGGGAGGGCTTTTTTTTTTTACGTCTCTATCATTTTTGCGAGGTTAGCCTATTGTGATTATTATTATTTTTTTTTGTTGCAGCAAATCCCCAAAAGATATCAAGGTGACCTCTGCAGCATCAACGATCGCTTTCAGGGTGTGTTTCGTTTTTCACACGCTAAAATAAACAATTTAAATCACAAATGCCATGCATTTCAGTGCAAGGTCGATTACATAACCGGCCTGTGATTATTTTACAATAAAAAAATGCAAGAAAAAGAGGCTTAAAAAATCAGCAATCGTGCTTATTTGAGAAAAATTTAGTAGCCACATAGTCGCCGTTGATTTTTTTTTTTTTTTTTTTGCAGTGTGTGTATATGTGGTGCACCTGTTGAGTAAAGGTCGGAGAAGCCTTGCACGGCGGCTTTAGTGCAGTTGCAGTCTTTGGTGCATCCGCAGCTGCCCTCTGCCGCGTGAGGTTGCTGCTTGGCGGCTGGGGGATCGGCTGCACCTTTGTCTCCCTCGTTCACGTTCAGGAGCGCTCCAAAAGAAACGGCACAATTCAATTCAAGAAATAAAATTAAAAAAAAAAGCTTTTCACCCCTAAAAAAATAATCATCGTAAAATTACCACATAATTTGGATCCCAGCCCTCCGGAGAGTTTCTGGGCCGCTGCCTGGCACCAAGCCCGGGCTGCAAGAGACAATTCATTGCATGCAACTTTTAAGAAATACACCCAAAACGTCACGCGACTTCACGTGAAGCAAGATGATTTTTTTTATGAATAAAAAAAGGTGATGCAAGGCCTGCGTGCGAGAATGCAAGATGTACTCACGCGTGTTGGGGCTCCGGCTGCCCGAATTGTCCCCGGCACCGAGGGACCAGAAACCCGGGGACGCCATGGCTCAGGAGCACGGCGAGTGTGGCGTCCTGGTTGTACTCGACGTCGTCGGACGCGCGCACATCCAAGCACACGCGGGGGGGAAACAAAAAAAAGAAGGGGGGCGGGGGGCAATTACGACGACGCGCGGTTACAGAATGTAAATTCTCTCACATACATTCCCTGGAAATTGTGTTGTCCAGGTGAAAAAAAAAAAGTGTCCTTTACATCCCTTAGAAAAAAAAGCAAGTGGATTACAAAGCAGCGTGTGGGTGTGGGGGTGCAGGAATGACATCCAATCTCACGTCACCCGAAAAAAAAAAAAAAAAAGGAAAAAAATAAACCTAAATCGTGGCGCATTCACTTGCGAGTCATGCCGAGCTGCGTGGCGTCGTGACTCGCACACAAACACCAACGCGGCTGCTCCACTTCAGCCTCCAAATGAGCACCGAATGCCAACCGAGACGTCTGCCCGGGAGGGCGTCTCATAGGGCGGCTGCGAGCGGAGCCTGCCCCCGCCCACCCCTTCCGGAGCTGGGGGACAAGAGAGAGGACAGAAGGAGGATCTCTCTCTCTCTCTCTCTCTCTCTCTCTCTCTCTGTCTGCAGCGTCACAGCTCGTTACTCCAAAAGTATCTCATACTCGTTACTTGAATGCTTGTACTTATGGTAATTTTTTCAAGCGCTGACTGCAGAGGAATCACAAAATGAAATGCTGAAAGCAAAGCATTGGGAAACCTTTATCCTGTTAAATGCAAGACAAAGTTCATGAAAATTGGGAGACAAATGTCTGTGATGTTTGTGGTGTATTTTTTAATATTTCCTTTGTTGGTTTCTTTTCAGAATACATAGGTTGCACAATCTGGTTTAAAAAATATTACACAAACAAGCCCCCCCCCCAAAAAAAATATTATCTATCTCTCGCTCTCTATATATATTTCCACTCTAAAATCTAAGTAATTCAAGCAGGTGGAGAAACCCAAGGCTCACAACTTGATCCCCATTAGTTTTACTCTATTTAAACATTGTCAAAAATAGACTTTAAAACGTAAATTTTATGCTTCATGTTTTTTAATCATTGTATTTTTTTGTACCAGTGAAAATTATGTCAGATTTTAGTCATTAAAAATGTTTCCAACAAACAATAGCTCAGAGTTGGGTGTGGGAAAGGTAACTACTGCAAAATGGAGAAATGTGAGCACTGATTATGTATGAATAAACTGGTGAATAAAAACAAAAATCACTAAATTGCATGGCGGAAATCATGGTGTAGTATTGGTTAGCATGTCTGCCTGAGGGTTCGGAAAATTCATGCAGGTACAGCTTTTCTTTGGGTACTTTCATGTCCTCCCACATTTCAGAAACATGCATGTTCGCTTTCTTGAAGATGGTAAATTTTCACTCTGGTGTGAATGTTTGTCATCTGGAGCGCCCCAAGGCGCACAACTTGGTCCCTAGTAGTTTGTCTCTACATTACATTTACATATTGCCCATAATTGAAAATTTAAAGGGTGCATCTGCTGGAATATATTCAAAAGTTGATGTGCCATATGTCCCTTTTTGATTGAGTAGATATTTTAGGTTGTGTGCAGAATTAAGCTTTTTTGTTTTTGTTCATATAAACCAACTGAAAAAAAAACTGAAAATAAAGACACTAAATTCCAAGGCTTTTATTTACAGGCATTTTTTTTTAAAGTAAAGCTTATTTATTATTCACAGATGTGGTCATCTTGTCTAAAAAGCTCTCATAGGTCAGTTTTGTTTTAGTGCAAATTTATGATAAGAAACCATTTCTTGTCATTGTCACCATTGATTATTTAAAAAAAAAAAGGGAAAAAAAAATTTTAGTCCTTTGCTCGGTACTGTCTGATGAGTCTTCGTCTCTGCGAGGTCTTCCTCAGCAGGTGCCTGAAGTCGTAGGGGTTATCGTCGGTGCGACTGCTGGCAGACAGCATTCTGGCAACGGAGCGACTGTGGACGACGCAAAAAAAATATACACATTGCACACTTGCAGTATGGGGGAGAAACAGTTAAAAAAAAAAAAAAAGCAAACACTTCATAGACGTGAGGAGAGCTGCGGGCGTCCTCGCTACGACGAATCTCCCGTAATTAGCTTGGCTTTAAATCTCCACCTAAACGCTCGCAGCCAGACGACGGCACGGAACGCGGTGCGCCATCTGCGCTCTCATTTGAGAGCGCGGCCTCGGGGTTGTTGTTTCTTTTTAAGTAGACTCCCTGGATAAACAAGTTAATTTGTTTCAAGTGTTTTTTTGTTTTTTTTTATGACAGAAGATGTGTATGGGCAGAAGCTACGAGTGATGAAATGTTTGGGGGGTGGGGAGGGGGGTTCACGCGCTTTGTTACGGTGATTACCAAACTTTACAGGGCTCAGTATAATAGTGACCTGCCACCCCTCTTTGCAGTATTGCTGATTTTGAAGCAATCATTTTTTTAAAAATAGGCTCTTATACCACTTTAGAGTAGCACCCCTTTGATGCAGTACCACGGAGTGCCACAATATGTCAGGCAGCACACAGCTTTCATGGAAGAGCATTGAATTGTTTTGTCTGTCACTAAACGCCACTGGCATAGATAGATGAACGAAGACACCTTTTGTTTTTGGCAGGTTTGGCCTCTGGCTTGGATTCTTCTGGCTGTCTGGTCTCGGCAGGTTCTGGCTTGGTCTCCACGGGGTGTCTCTGGTCCTCGGAAACCCTGCACTGGAGACTGCTTTTGGACGACGTTTCCTCGGAAGCAATGGCGGGCATAGACTTGCTGGTGGGCAAAGCCTGGTAGTAGTGCTGGTCCACATCCACAAGCTTACCCGGACTACGAGGACGGACGAGCAAGAGTCAAGGCCAAAAAGTTTGTGTTGATGTTCAGTTCGTACGTAAGTGATCTGCACTATAAAAATTGTGCTGGCTGCAGAGAAAGATTCCAAAATTTCTTTCTGGAGTTCCACAGGGCTGTGTTTTAAGTCCCCTCGTCACCACTATTCGCCCACATTCCTTTTTATAAAACATACACCGAGGATTCAGAGGCGATGAGATTCATCGGTTTGATTTATTTTGGGCACGCACACACGACATGACCATCTATTGACTCCTCCCACTTCAGTCAAAGTCTCTTGATGGCCTCTCTTCCTTCCTAATGGCGCGTGTAAAATGTTCCCATCCATCGCATGATTACGAACCTTGAGCCCTTTTCGTGTTCACTCGGTTGTATAATGTGAACCCGTGCTCACATAGTGCCTTCTCTCAGCACCTTCACGTCCTGCAAAGGCGGCCAGCCACATTTTATATTTCGTATCATAAAACGTCACTGAACATGTCCGGCGTGTGGACGCCACATAAGACGACGCTCGTAAAAATTGGACATGGCGTGTCGTTAAGTCCGCCATGAGGCGTCACTGCGCGTCGGCGGTTAAGAGGATGTTAAATGCACTTACTCCTCTTTCCTCGGCTTGCGTTTGTCATCCTGGACGGAGCGCTGCGGGGAAGAGCGAACACGTCGGCCATCATCATCTTCAGTGTAAACATGCTCTCTTGGCTCAGTTAGTTCAATGTAAACCTTTTTTCAGTTCGCACCATAAAGCTACCGGAAGTGGAGGAATTGCAGTGGTGCTCAGCTACACCGCGAAAAGGATGAAAGGAATGCGCCGCCGTTTCTACCCCCAACATTTTTTAATATGAGAATATCTTTCAGGCCACTCACGTGAATCAACGTGTAGTAGGTGGAGTCCTCGGGAGTGTTGAGAGTCTTTGGCTGCAGGGTGCGGCGGGGGGGCCGCGACAGTCTCTTGTCGGCTGAAAGAGTGGGAAACGACGACGTTTGACCAGAAGCCATCATACAGAGAGAAACCTCTCATCTATGAATATACATAACTTTGTGTAACGTTCTCGTGCGGAAAGCTGTGAGGCCGGCGTGCTAACCAGTCGTCCCACCGCGCCGCAGTTTGAGGCAAAGTTGATTAATTCCGGCCGAGCGGCTCACCCAACAGTTGACCCGGCTGCGACCTTTGTCCCATTGAGCTGACCTCCATCCGCACGGGCAGTTTAACCTCAGGCCTTGACAACGCTTTGAATTTTCCAATAGCAGCCCTATATCCCATACTTTTACTTTCAGACATTTCAGAGCGCGTACTTTAAAAGTTTTCAACCAAGTATAGAAGGTGAATTTGTAATTCTACTTTTCGCACTATTTTTTATCTGTACTTCTACTTTATTACAGAGTACGAGTACTTTAGCCACCGGCAAGGTTTTGGAGCATCTGGAGAACCATTTCACGATGATTGATAATTTTTGTCGGCCGGCAACACTCTTGCGCTCGTACAAATACATCACGTTGACCTTCCCGCGCTACTTCTTATTAATCACGTTCGCACGAGAGCGAACGGGTGAATAAAAAAACTAGCCAGAGCAAGAAGAGTGAGTGGAAAGTTTACAATATCATTGAAAAGGTCATTTGGTATTGGCACAAACAATTCTACGCTTCCGCCAATTAATTCCCCGCCGCAATTGTCACACAACGCGATTAAGCTTTGACGACCTTTCCCGTGAGGAGCATTGCGACCGACGTGTTTATTGCACGATGATGATGATGATGGAGTTAATGATTACGGGCATGAATATGAACCCGGGGAAATAAAGCGCGGAAGTTTACAGGAGACCTGGGGCCATGTGTTCCGCGCAGGAAAAGTCAGTAAAGGGCAAGTAGATGTGATGACGTCATATGTTACAAAGCAGTCCGATTTTTCATGTGTTGCTGGATGTTTTGTTTGTATGTGTTGCTGGTTCGTGTGTATTAAAATAGCATTTGTATTGCTGTAACAGAAGCCCATCTACTGTTTCGCATTTATGTGTTGTTAGCATTAAGCTAGCATACTTTGGTCAGACAAAATATGGTGTTTGTCGGTGTTGAATTATAATTACACGGTGTTAAATTATTTTTCGTTGTATGCTCTGTTGTTTGTGTTGCTGCTCTGTGTGTATTAAAATAGCATTTGTATTATTGCTGTAAACCG